CCCACTCTGTCTCTCGCCACCCCTGAGCCTCTGGCCTGTACCCCAGTTCTATATGCACAAATAAATAAATCTTTAAAAAAAAATAATCTATGTAATATACCATGTTAACAGAATGAAGAAAGAACCAGATTTTATATAAAACAGAAAAAGCATCTAACAAATCTTAGCACCCATTGATAATAAAAATTCTCAGCAAACTAGGTAGAAAAGGGAAATTCCTCAACATGGTACAGTAGCTACACAAAATTTATAGCTATTATAAGTAACACTGAATACTCTTCTCAAGATCAAGAAAAAGACAAGGGAGTTCACTCTCGAGTCATTGCTCATGACTGAAACTCTAACCAGTGTAATAAGGCAAGAAAAGGAAATCAACAGTATATGAAGCAGAAAGGAATAAATAAAACCACCCTTATTTGCAGAGGACACAATGGTTAGCAGAAAATCTCAAGGAATATATAAAACTCCTAGAATAGATGAGTTTGGCAAGGTCACAGACAGACAAAAGAGCAACACAAAAATTAGCTATATTTCTATATACTAGCAATGAACACATGGACTTATGTGCTGAGAAGTACAAAACAATGATAGAAGAAATCAGTCATCTGCACAAAGAAATCTAAATTCATGAGGAGATTCATATAAGCAGTATCAATTCTCCCCAAGTTGATAGATTTAATGCAGTATCTATCAAGTCCTCACAAAGATATTATAGATGGAAAAGTAGAATAAATTGGGGTATATTGGGGTATATCTCTCGGCCTGACATTAAGGCTTAGCTATACAGCTATACTGATCATAACTATGAGGTAATTGCAAAGGGGTAGCCTAATGGTTCAGCAGAATTGCATACTGAATCAAAGTCACACACAAGATTCACCAACTGACTTTTCACAAAACTGTAAAAGCAATTTGATGGAAGGACAGCTTTACAACAAATGGTGCTGGTGTAATTGGACATCCATAGTTAAAGAAAGAAAAGAAAAATGAATTTGACATAAATGATCTTTACAAAAATTAATTCAAAATGCACTTAAACATAAAATGTAAAATAACGTTTATAAAAACAGAGGAAAATCTTCAGGATAGAAGGCTTGAGGAAGAGTCTTAGACTTGAAACCTAAAACAAGATTAAAGAATGACAAACTAGACCATAAAATTTAAACATTCTTGGTCTGTGAAAAACTTTGTGAAGGTGATAGCAGACAAGCCATCACTAGCAAAAAAAAATTGCAAATCACATATGTGACAAGTGATTTGTATCAAAATTGTATTTTCAAGTATACAATAATAAATATGCAATCCAAATAAAAAAACAGGCAAAAGATTTGAAGGAACATTTTACCAAATAAGATATACAGAAGGCAAATAAACAATGAACGATAATTCAACATAATCAGCAACTGGGGAAATGCAAATTAAAACCACAAAAAGGAACCATTATAATACATCTATCAGAACAGTTCAAAATAAAAACAGTGGTAACACCATTGCTGGTAAGAACACCAAGAAACTTGATTTCTTACACTTATACTTGTGGGAACATAAAATGGTGCAGCCACTCTGGGATACAGTTTGGCAGTTTCAAAAAAAACCCTAAATATACAATTACCATTTGACCCAGCAATCATACTCTGAGCATTTACTCTAGAGAAATGAAAACTTAGGACTACGCCAAACCTTTCCACAATGTCCATAACAGCTTTATCTGTAACAGCCAAACCTGGAAATAACCAAAATGCCCTATACTAGATGTATTTTTATAAAATCAACATTTTTGTACTTTTATAAAATCAGTACAGCTATACCATGATACTTACTGTGTAATTAAAAGAAACTATTGATACACACAACAACTTGCATTATGCTGAGGGAAAATGTTTGTATGAAAAGATCACATTATATCACTATATAACAGTTTCATGATGATGAAATTACAAAGATGGAGAACAAATTACTTATTGCCAGGAGTTCTCGGGATAGTTGCACTCTCCATGGTGGTGGAATATTATTTACTTTGATTGCAATGCTGTTTACAGAATCTCTACACTTGACATAAAGATAGGTATATATACACAGTGAGACTGTACATTTCTTGATTTTGATATTATAAATTGGGTAAAATGTAAGCATTAGGAAAATTTAAGTGAAGGATTCACATGAACTTGCTATACTAAATCTCTGTAAGTAAAAAGTTCTAAACAAAAAAATTATCAAACTAAGCAGGTACCCTAAAACTATTGAAAACTAATGGTCACACAAGACAGTATTAGACAGGGCTACTACCTTAAAGTGTTCCTTAATGCGGTTTTTCCAATGACTTTACCATTAGCAAGGATTCGCTTGAAAGTCTATTTTCTAAAGCTTACTGGGTCATGAGAAAACAGATGATACTTTCATTTATACAGACAAAATCTCTAACATGCTTGGATTTAATCAGGACATTTAGCTACCCAAGAGATAAATACCCAAATTTCAATCAGGAACAACTTTTGGTACATGTTTAGGGGGAGATTAATTTAGTCATAAGTTAAGCTAATAGCTCAGTATCTGCATTTCAATGTTGTTTCCAACTAGACACAAAATTTGCGTGTTACTGTTAATAGGGCTCCTAGAACCTGGTTGTTTATTGAATTAACCTAGTTCTTGTTTACTACCTTACTTTCCTTTTATTGAGTAAAAGAGGTAAATCCCTTATCAGCTAATACCCTGCTTCCTCACTACTCCACACTGGCAATCAACCCACAATACCAGGACCCCACCACCACTCTCAGGTTGAGAGTGGCTCTGAAGAGAGGGGGCTCTGAAAGCTGCTGATCCTCTCCTAGTATATGATCCATAGCAAACTTTGTTTAAACCTTTGGTTCTCTCTCTAAATTCCTTTTGTCAGGCCAATAAAGCCAGACAAGAACTCTCAAAGGTCTGTAACAAATTTGACAAATTTCCTTGAAACCCCTCCTCTGGTGTCTGTGATGCTGGGTGGGGCTGCAAGCTCTCTGGATGACCCACAAAGCACCAAGAGCCCTTTTGTTCTTGGATCCTCTGGGGAGGTACATGGCACTGTGTCCTCAACTGGGTTAAATTTACTTTTGGTTTCAAGCAAGACAGGTTTGTGAGCTCCTTGGTGTATTGAGTAGTGTTTGTTCATCTCACCAAAGGAAGCAGGCCTGAAGGAAGTCCAGACAACACACCCTAGATGCCCTGCCAGATGTGTTAGGTGAAGGAACAGTTAGCTTGGGAAAACAAATTTTCCATACCTATTTCTATGTGCAAGGACACTGGGTCCTAACTACAGAAATGGACAACAGGGGGTAGAAATCAATGACTCCTTTCAGGGTTTAAATTATTCTTCCAGAGACACAAATTGTGTAAAAACACAATTTAGATAACTAGGTACAAGTTTGTGTAACAATCCTCAGTGGGGCCCCAAAAACCACAGTCACCTGGCCCTGCTGGAGTATTACTGTAACTTTCTCTTAAGGGAAATGAGGCTGGCTAGCAAGGGACCTGTTAGTGGACAAAGGCAATGATGTTCTTATCCAGGAGCCTCAGCAGACTCCCCCTTAGTTTTCATGGGAAGACTGAAACATTCCAATAGTATTTCTCTTTGGATATGGGCTCCCCAGCAGAAGCCAGTCTTAAATACCTACCTTACAACTCAGAGAGCCCCTGTCATTAGGTGCAAGTTACAGGACAGTCACCCTTCTCCCAATTAGTGGAGGTGGCCTTCTAAGTATTTAATGACCCAGATTTGATAGAGAAGGACTTCAAATGGCAAGCCACCCTACAGGCGGATGCCTTCAAGATCACTCTGGGACAAGACTAGAAAAGAATACACTTTGAGGATAATCTTGGATGATTATCCCTGGTATCCAATCAGGAGGATAGGTTCTTCGAGTTGGAACCAAATCAGTTTGCCATATGCAAATAGAAGGGAAACTAGGGAAAAGACATACTCAAGTCCCCAGAGGCCTGACAGTCAACAGTACCAAGTGGCCCAGGGATTTCCTCATTTGTCTCATAGTAGTCCAATTTCCACTGCCCCAGAGGAACGCTGATCTTGAACTTTGGGCAGACTGGTCTACATTTTAGTTGACACAGAAGACATCTACTTGGTTTTGAACATACAGAAAGTGTAGCAAGAACTCCATTTTGCAACAAAAAATCCCCTATATTAAAGCAGGAATTAAGAAACAAATCACTGAATTATGCTCCCTATACCTCCTCCGCCTATTTAACCATTAACTGGCTCCAAATGCATTCCTGGTAGCTTGAAAAATTGATTGTTAAATCCCTAATAAAATTCTCTCTCCTTCTTAGGTGGATCAGAAACAAATAAGTAGCTGGTGACTGCTTCTGAGAAAGCTAAACACCTTAACTCCTTCTGCCTAGAAATGCAGCCTCCTGGACCCTCCCCTTTGAAGGGCTAGAGGTGGGGTCAGAAAACCAGTACAATGAATTTTTAAAAGAACATAAAATGCAAATGTAAATCTCATATATTGTTGGTGGGAATGCAAAATCATACAAACATTTCAGAAAACTGTTCAGTTTTTTTACAAAGCAGAAGAAAAACTTACCACACAATCCAGCAGCCACATTCCTGGATTATTATTTCATTTGCATAAATTTCTACTAGTTATGCAAAATATTATGTATGACTATTCAGAGGAACCTCAATTTTATTTCCCAAACTGGAAACAAAGCCAATATCTCTCAAGTAGAAATGTATAACAAACTGTGATACATACATAATTAAAAACTACTCAATAAAAAAAAGAAACTACAGGTACTTGAAAAAATATAAATATCAGATGCCTTTTGCTAAAGAGAAGTCACACTCAAAAGTATACAAACTATATGACACCTTGACTGAATTTCTTAATTTCTTAAAGAGGTAGTAAAGCTATTTTATATGTTGATTATCTCAAAATACATGCATGCACTAAGAAGAGTGAATTTTACTATATACAGACTTAAAATGATTTTTAAATGCTTCTTACCTCACATTAGTTTCATCATTAAACTCTTCAGCCCATTTTTTCCTTGATTGTGCAGTTGTAGAACCATCCAAACGGTAATAGTCAATGTTTCGGAGCCATTTCCCTTCACCTGAAAATTTAACAAGATAATGTAGGTTTCACTCCAGGCATGAAAGATTGGTTCATCACATGCAAATCGTTCAATGTCATTCAACAGATCAACAAGATAAAAATCACAGAGTCATCTCAAAATACACAGAAAAAAGAATCCATCAAGATTCAACACTTACTTACGATTAAAACTCAATTAAAATGGGAATAAACAGAACTTATTTTAAACACAACAAGGGCTATACATTACAAACCAACAGTCAACATCACATTCGATGGCAATAAACTGAAAACCTTTACTCAAGGATCAAGACAAAAATAACCACTTTCACCACTACTGCCCAATATAGTACTGGAAGTCAAAGTTGGGCCAATTAGACAAGAAGATGACATAAAAGAAATACAGATTGAAAATGGTAAGTGAACAACACTATTTGCCAATGACACGATATACACAGAAAATCAAAGATTCCATCAAAATATTACCAGATATAATAAATGAAAACAGTAAAGTAACAGGACACAAAAACCAGTACAAGAAGTTGATTGCATTACTAATCAAATGACTAGAAGAAGAAACTTTTTTAAAAAGTCTATTTATAATAACAAAAGAACAAAATACCTGGGAACAAATTTAATGAAGGAGGTTAAGGACCTATACACTTAAAGCTGTAATACTATCTTAAAGAAAATAAGACACAAAGAAACTGAACAATATCCCATGTTCATGGATTCATAGAATAAACACTGCTAAAATATCCATATTAACCTAAATAAATTCACAAATTCAATGTGATACCTATAAAAATCCCAATGACTTTCTTCATGATAGAATAAACAATTTAAAAATTTGTATAGAACCACAAAAGGCCCTTAATAGGCCAATCCTGAAAAGAAAAAAGAAAAATGGAGATATCACACTCTCTGTCTTCAAACTGTACTTACTACCTAATAGTAATCAAGTATGGTGCTAGCAACAAAAATAAAAACACATATCAATGAATGGAATAGAATAAAAAGCCCAGAAATACACCCACACAAATATGGGCAGTTAATCTTTGTCAATGAAGCCATGACCACACCATACAGGAAAGCCTTTCTGACAATGAGTGCCAGGAAACATAGAAGTCACATGAAGAAAAAAAAAAAAAAAAGACAGATCCTTACTTAAAATTAACTCAAAATGGATTAAAGATTTTGGATATAAGAACTGGACATAAACCATAGAGATATATTTGGGGACAAACTCTATTGGCAAGATAAGCAAACAAAAAAATGAACAAATGAGACTACACCAAACTGAAAAAATGTTTGCTCCGCAAAAGAAACCATTACAAAACAGAAAGGCAAGCTATGGACTAGGAGAAGGTATATGCATATCATACATCTGATAAGGGTAATTTCCAAAACAAAAAAACTCTATAACACAAAAACAATTTCATTAAAGAATAGAATAAAGAGTGATGAGAGAATACAATGGACTATGGTAGAGGACTATGGGTACTCTGGTGGTTGGTGTGGCAGAGTAACAAGTTCCCATACCTCAAAATCACAAACATCGTAAGCCAATGTCACCTCAATAAAATAAGACAAAACAAAAAGGGCAAAAGACCTTCTTCAAAGACATAAGTCAACACTAGCTATACAGAAAAATGCAAAAAATAATCATAATGAGATATCACTTCACCCCAAAGAGAATGGCCTACAATAAAAAGAAAGAAAACAACCTCTGTTGGCAAGGATGTGGAGAAAAAAGAAAGCTCACCAGCTGTCATTGGGAATGGTAATTTGGTACAGCATCTACAGAAAAATGCTATGGAGAATCCTCAAAAAAATTAAAATGGACATACTGTATGATCCAGCAGTAGGTATTTTACCAAACAATATGAAGATGAATATAAAAAGACGCCATGTATTCCTGTTCATAGCGGCATTATCCACAACAGCCAAGTCATGAAACCAACCTTAGTACCCTGTGACAGAGGAGTGCATAAAGAAATTGTGTAATGGACTACTATTCAACTATTACAGAAAGATGAACTAATGCCTTTTGAGATATAATGGATATTCAGGTGATTATGTCATGTGAAATAGGTCAGAAATGAAAGACAAAATAGTTTCACTTATTTGTGGAATATGAATGACCAAACAGCACAAACTGGCAAATCACAGCAAAAACAAATTAAAACTTTTTACAATCTAGTTACTGGAGGTTACAGGAGAGCAAGAGGATGGGACAGGGGAAATAAAAAGATATCAACACTGGCATGGAAATTATAATAGAGGATGAATGAGTTAGGTGAACATATGTAGGTGTTAAAATATATCTCCAAAGTTATACAGATATAAACGACTAATAAAAATCTGAGGGATTAAAAATTAGGCAACAACAATGAAATTTAAAAGACTTAACATACAAAGAACCAGGCAGGATCTGCCATCAAGGGAGACTGTGGGCAGTGGGAGAGTGCAGCCCCTGAGCCATTGTTCAAAGACTGGAACCCCACAATACCCTTCTGGAATTGAGTAAATACAGAGGGGTTGGGAGGTACTGAAGGACAGCACCCACCAACATATCCACAGCATCACTATCCTTGTGGATTTTTGGCAAAACAGTGCTGGACTTGGTGTGGCCAACAGTTCCCAACATCCCAGAAGACAAGCATGCAAGTACCATCGGCACAATATCCCAACACAAGGACAAATTAGAAAACAAACAGCAGGGAAAAGAAAATGTACAAATAACCAAGTAAGTACACAGGAGAAGTACACACAACAAAATAAGCCACCAGAACTCAACAACAATGACATGGAAGAACTATTCTGCTTGCCAGATAAAGACTTTAAAATCATCATGATTTAAAAAAATAAAGAATATAAAAAGGAAAAGAAAGATGTAAAAAAAAAAAATTAACATACTGACAAATGAAACTGAGTACCTTAAAAAAGAAATGAAAAAAACACAGGAGATTAAAAGATTAATGGAGGAGTTAAAAGAACTCTGAGGGGCCCTCCCTGGTGGCGCAGCAGGTTAAAGCACAGCACTCAGAAGCTTAAGCCACTTCCACATGAGTTCGATCCCGCCTGCCCCAGAGGAGATCCACATGGCGAGGCAGACCTCTCCTGACCCGCCCGCTGCTCCCCTCAGCAGTGTACTTCGTCCATCTACCTGTTCTGCACCCCACTCTGTCCCTGGTGAATCCTCTCACCCTCTGGATCTCTGACCTGAACTCCAGTTCTGTATGAATAAATAAATAGATCTTTTTTAAAAAAAGAACTCTGAGGAAAGCAATTAAAATAGAATTGATAAAATGGAAGAATCAATACCCTCAAAGATACAGAAATAAAAAGAACCAAAAAAGAAAAAGAAAGCGAAGTATGAAAGGGAAAAAAAAAAATGAAGAAACATTTTGAAAACTATCTGACACCATGAGGAAAGGAAATGAGTTACAGGAATCCCAGAAGGTAAGGTGAGAGACCAAGAAACAAACTATTCAAAGATATAACTGAAGAGAACTTCCAGAGCATGAAGAAGTAGATGGAAACAGATATACAAGAATTGAGAACACCAAAATACCATAATGAAAGAAAATTAAAAGACATATATAATAACAAAGCTCCCAAGAGTCCAAAACAAGGAAAAAATAATCACCAAGGGGGAAGAATCAGTATCCAATAAAGGAAAACCAATCTGACTGACATCAGACTTCTCCAAAGAAACACTAAGGGCAAGAAGCAAATGGAAGGACATATTCAACAAACTCCAAGACAACAAATGCCAACCAAAAATACTTTACCCTGCAAAGGTCTCCTTCCTCTATGGAGAAAAAATAAAGACCTTCTCAGACAAAAACTCCAGAAATTCATTACAACTAAACCCTTGCTCCAAAAATTACAAGAACTCCTAAAGCCAAAACCAACAGAGGAATGAGTAAGAACAGAAAAAGCAAGAAACAAAATCACAAAAAAATCAAACAAAAGGGCACATACAGACACCAAAATGTCACTATCGACACTAAACTAAACATAAATGTACTAAACTCAATAATAGAGTAGCAGGTTGGATTGAAAAACAAAATCTGGGGCCTCACGAGTAGCAGAAAGGGTTAAGTGTCAGCATTATGAAGCAATCTGCAGCCATTCTGCAACAGTTCAAGCCACAGCCAGGAGATGACCCACATGGTGCAGCAGACGTCTCCTGTCTTGCCAGCTGCTCCCTTCAGCAGTGTATTTCTGTCACTCCACCTGTTCTGCTCCCCACTTTGTCTCTAAAGAATTCTATCCCCTCCAGTATCTCTGGTCTGTATTCTAGATGTTATATTTATAAATAAACCTTTAAAAAAAATCAACTTTCTGCTTTCTCCAGTAAACACATTTAGCTGCAAAAGATAAGCACAGACTGAAAGTAAAAACTTGGAAAACAATCCTACAAACAATGGGCCAAAAAGAAGGTAGAAACAGCTATGCTTGTATCAGATAAAACAGACATCAAACTAAACAAAAATAAAAAGAGACATGGGGGATACTACATTACTATTAAGAAGACTAACATCAGAAAGCTGTAACACTCATCAACATATACTCACCAAATGAAGGAGCACCAAAAGAGGTAAGACATTAGAGAAAATACATATATAGTGGAAGACATCACAATGCCCCACTCTCACCAATGGACAGATCAACAAGATAAAAAAATAAACAAAGACATTAGAGCCCTAAATAAACACCTATACCAAATGGGCTTAACAAACATCTATAGGACATGCACACCAAAAAGCCTGAGTATACATTTTTCTCAAGTGTGAATGAATCATTGTCCAGGATCAGTTACATATTGGGACACAAGACATTCATCAACAGATATGTTAAGATCACAATCATTCCAAATATAGTGTCTGATCATAGAGGCATCAAACTAGAAAACAAATTATGAAAAGAAAGCAAGGAACTCTCCCACATCACAGAGATTGAAGTTCACACTACTGACGACTACTTGATTAAAGAGATCAAAGAAGAAAT